GACACGTATACACTCCACTAACTAATTCCCCTTCCCTTTTTTCACACCCAACGTCCCTCTGCCTGGCTTGCGATATTTCATAATAATTGGTGGCCTAACAATTTCTGAGTTTATATTGCTGATGTTAATACTTGATCGTCGAAGGTCTCGGCTCTGGTGACGGGGGAATTCTATACAAAGAAAGATCATTTTCCAGGATTTGCACGGCCTTTTGTTTTCAATGCACAGGTTTTGTTAAAGTTCGTAGGAATTTTATCCTATAATTATCTCTTACAGTTTATGTTGCATAATTCAATTCGCAAATGTGTTGTTATATTTTAAGAATCCCTTTTTTCTGCATTTTATAGGGTTGGACGTAATCTAGAAGCTAAAGATGCCGCCAGGGGGGCTTTAAAATTACCATGGTGGACTCTGGGTTGCAAGTACCAAGTATGGCACCGGGAATAATTGTTTTTCTTCTTTTGTCTACACTCTATGCCTTCTCATCTTTATATTTTTACTTTCTCCAGTTCTTGGAGTTAAAGGGTTAGTTTCTGTTCAGGAAGTTGCTCAAATAGCACAATGGGAGGATGAGCAAATTGAGTATATCAAAGAAAAAGTAACAGAAGAGGGAAAACAGGAAGATTTAAACAAGGGGAAGCCAGCTGCTCAGGTATAATAACTGGTTTTATTATTTCTTAATTTGCACAGAGATTAAGGAAAGTTAGATGATGATTAGCGTATTGTCATTTTTCTTATTCAAATTTGCAGATTGCTTTGGATGAAGCTGCATTTCTATTGGATTTAGCTTCCGTAGATGGCAATTGGGATGCCTTTGTGGAACGCATTGCCGAGTGCTACAGGGAGGCCGGACTCTTTTATATTTCAACATTTGTGTCTTACAGAGATTGAGTATTGTGAACTTGTACGAGATTGATAGCAATCTAGATTTCATATGTACCATTGAAATTTTAGAAATTCAAATTTTATTTGTAACTTTTGGGTTCTGTTTATTTGCTCTGACCTTTAACTTGTATCAGTAGTTGATCCTTGAGAGAAAACTTGTAGTTCTTCAGATAAGCTTAGAATTTAAAATTCTCTCTACTTCAGATTCATTGCTCTTTAGAGAACAAAATTTTGATATATAAGATAATTTAAGATCATTTGTACTTTATCAAAGTATATATTTGAGTTCCATTCAACTCTTTTTTATTTATTTATTTTTTTTTTATATCTAAAGATATGTTTGATATTAATAATTAAAAACTACTTTTAAAACTAAAAATTATGTAACATTGAAAAATGAATTTTCTTCATTCTATTATTTTACACTAATATTTAGGGTGTGGTTGGTTGGGGATAAATGTTGTTATCTATATTTTTTTTTTTCGGAAATTCCCATGTTTGGTTTGAAGGTTAAAAAAGTTGATGGTAATTTGTATTTACCAATAGTGAACACTGTGGGTCAACTTTGGGGTAATCAGATAACCTAGTCTAGGGGTGGTTTTTTTACCATTATCAGATGTATCTTATTTTTGTTCCAAATTTGTACATATTAGTCACTTGGGATAGATTTCCCCTTAAATATTTGCCTAATAACAAACATGTCGTTTTAGCAGAAATTTCTGTTTGTAACCTTGTTTAATAATATTTTAGAACAAAAATGCCCTTGAAGTTTGAAAGAACTATACCTATAACTTACCAATTTTTCGAAACCCTAACCATTCTCATTTCTCTTCTTTGACGATAACAACAATGCTGGCATTGTGTTTGACCTGAGCTCCAGAAGACGTCGACCACCATGCCCAAGGTTTGTTGTCTTCTTTTACTTTGTAACTATTATTATTGTGTATCATTGTGGTAATTTTGATTTTTTCAAATGGCCGCGAACCATTTCCAACTTCACTACGGTGATTTTCGACAATCACAAGCGGCAATGTCTTCAATAGGTTAGGTTTGTACTTCTTTTAATTATAAGCCGTTTTGTTATAATATAATTCGATTTAGACCCATGGTTTAGGGTTTAGGACCATTAGATGGACGGTTTAGGGATTTCAATCCATGGTTTAGGGAACAAAATGGACAATGTTAAATCTGAGTTGCTTGCTTCGATATGAACCATCATTTTTTTGGTTTCTAAATTGTTTTGGATCTGTTTGATGTTTATCTTCCTTGTTAGTTGCTTTTGGGACTCTGACTTGCTGAAAACAATTGCATATCTGGTGGTATTCTTGTTAAATGGGTAGAATTAATATGAACTCTTGTTATTAGGAGTGCTAGTTTTCTATGATAGTAAATTATACTAAAGTCTGGGACTTGATGTTGAAGATTATTGCATAGTGATTGATTCATTTTCACTAACTAAGTATTTTGATTTTAGTTGTTCACTGTTGTATGTTGTACATTATTGACAAAGATTGGTGACAGTTGTTGTGCAATAACCTCATGTTTTGGGTGTTGCCGAATAAGTTGATGTTGTTGTTTATTCTCACGTATTTTGGTACAGTTGTTCTTAAGTAATAGTTTGCTTGCTCGTACATGGATTAGGTGAAACAACCATGCCTCGTTTAACACTAAGCCAGAAGATGCATTTGGTGGCAGTTTTGTGTATGCACTTGGACATGCTGAAAAACATGTTCACCATGTTTCTCTTTCTAGGGTTAGCATTGCACCTTGGGAATAGGAATCAATCTAGGCGTTCCATAACCTACATGGGTGAGTTAATGGGTAGATGTGAGATTAGGAATTATAGACTATGATTTTCGAAACTGATGGAGTTTGTCTCGAGAACTGTAGAATGGATAGGAAAGCGTTTTCTAAGTTATGTAATTTACTAGAAAGTCATGGGGGGTTAGTTTCAACTGGACATACCAATATAGAGGAAATGGTAGGTAGTTTCCTTCACATCCTTGCTCACCATGTCAAGTATAGGGTTATGAAGAGACAAATATCTAGATCAAGTAAGACAGTTTCACGTTGTGTTAACAGTTGTGTTGAAATTGCATTTCTTTTTACTTAAGAAACTGGAGCCAATACCCGAGAATTCAATTGATGAACACTGGAGATGGTTCAAGGTACATATTTTCCTAACGACCACATATAATTGACATAAAATTCTAATTTGGACATTATCCAGTAACTACCTCAATGTTTTCTTATTTTTTGTATTGTTAGAATTGCTTACGTGCACTGGATGAAACATACATCAGCGTTCACGCCGACGCTGGTGATAAACCGAGGTATCGAATGCGAAAGAGTGAAATTGAAACTAATGTGCTTGGTGTTTGCACATCCGACATGCAATTTATTATGTTCTCCTCTCGTGGGAAGGTTCAACTACAGATGGTGGAGTGCTAAGGGATGTCATTAGTAGGAGAAATGGCTTAAAGGCCCCTCAAGGTACATCCTTAATCAAATTTACTTGTACATGTTAGGATAGAGTGACAAAGTATATGGTTATATGGATTTTGACATTGTGTTTTTTCATGATAGGGTGTTATTACTTATGTAATGCTGAATACACCAATGGAGAAGGGTTCTTGGCCCCATACAGGGGCCAATGATACCATTTGAACGACTTGAGGCAAGGCCAACAATCGAGAACAGCCTAAGAATATTTCAATATGAAACACTCTCAAGCAAGGAATTGTATCGAGGGGTGTTTCAGCATACTGAAGAAGAGATGGGTATTTTTGAGAGATGCATCCTTCTACCCCATCAAAACCCAATGGCGAATAATTTTTGCCTATTGCATGCTTCATAATTTCATTAGGAGTGAAATGACAGTAAACCCAATTGAGAGTGAAGTTGCAAATACCTAGGATGACAACAATGCTAAGGGTGATATAATATGGCACGTTGAGACAAGCCCCGCTTGGACTGGGTGGAGAGATAATTTAGAGCATGAAATGTTCAATAGTTGGATGGCATCGCGCAATGTATAGTGTAGTGTTAATATAGAGAGAAATATATACTGTTTTGTCATTGTAAGTCGAGTTTGATGTAATTTGGTGCAAAACATTTGCGATGTGCTTTTTTGAAACTTTATGTCTGCAGCTACCACATTCATTATGTTTATATGAAACTGTTTGATGCCTGGTTGGATGCTAAATTGTAGTTTATTACTTACTGTATCACATATTTTATAATGTTGTTGATTTTTTATACATCCCACCCTTTCCATGCTATTCCTTTTGTGCTTGTTCAACTATGTTTTGTCAAAATGGCTAACGCTGTCATCTACTTCTAACTGCAAGATGGATAGGTCAACATCAGGAACCAAAAATGGCGATAAGAGCTTGTCCATGTCTGAGCCAGACATCACCCGACAATAGAAGGGCAAAGTCAAGGCTGGTAAGAGCAAAAGGTAGTGGACAAAAGTTGAGGACTCCAATCTGGTTGACTGCCTTGCGAAACTAAGAGAGAGCGTCCACTGGAGGGCTGAAAACGGGCAATTTAAAGTTGGCTTTTACGACCAGCTCAAGAAAATGATGGCTTAAAGGTTATCTGGACATGGGTTGAGCGCTTACCCACACATAGAGTCCAAGTATAAGTTGTTGATGCGCCAATACAATGCCATCAATGACATGGTAGAACATGACAGTGGATTTGGCTGGAATGACCAAGAGAAGTGCATCATTGCGTCTTTGGATGTCTTCGACGACTGGGTTAAGGTAAGTGGTCCATGGTTGCAACCCATATAATTACATGTTTTCAATTAAAGTTTAGACATGCAATGCTTTTGATTACCTTATTTACATCTTTTTGACCAAGTTTATTATTTATTCTTTGCAGAGTCACCCTGAAGCAAAAAGTTTGCGTCACAAATCATTTCCCCACTATGACAAGTTAGTGTTCGTTTTCGGGAAAGACTGCGCAACTAGCATGAATGCTGAGACCCCCACCAATGCTGTTGAGGAATTAGAGAAAGTTACCACTGACATCGTCATGGATGTCAATGTCGAGGTAGAGGTGGAAGGCCATAGTAATGTCCTGGTGAAGGAAGATGTGGTTACGTGTACATGTCAAACAACCACTACTAACTACAGTAGAAGGGTAGTCCACAGCAGCAAGAGGAAGGCAAGGGATGAGAGCTTAGACAGTTTCATAGAACAAATGAGCATGTTTGGCAAAGTTGTTCAAGGATCTCGTGAAGAAATGAAGGACATTGCCTCGTATTTCAACCGAGAGTCTTTGGAGAAAGATATGAGATGGATGTTGTTCAATGTTATTTTCGAATTGGATGGATTTACATTGGATCAGATCTGGAGGCTGGCGAGGCAATCGCCAAGGAACCCCATAAAATGGAGTTTTTCTCAGGGCTGCCGATGGATATTAGGTAGGAGTATGTGAGGAAGCAGCTATCTGAAAGTAATGTGTATCGTCAATCGTTTGATCATTTAGATTAAATTAAAGTTAGCTTATTTTGATTTGTGCAATGATGTGTTATTTTAGCGAACTGGGTTGTCTAAGTTAGTGTTATCCCCCTCAATGTAGCCAAAAACTACCATATTTCCAATTAGCTTACCCGTGGTAGTGCATTGTCTATGCACTTAACCGTACCTTGCAGTGGGTATATTTTGCCATGTAACTAACATGTTTTTGTAAACCTAGCTTATCTAAGTTAATGTATGGAAATGGTGTTCATGTGTGATAGACATTAATGAAGTTGAGTATCTCATAATCATGTTGTCACTACTTTATTAATGATAACACATAGTCCTGTGCACCAAGAGTTATTTAAGAGATGCAAGCTATAATAAAAATGACTAGAGACTATTATTTCATAACACCTATCACGAAGAACTAAAATTATCTAATTGCGTTGTTTTTTGTACAATTTCAGGGGGAATTGCAACAACACTGTTTACGCGAGCAAAAACTCCCCCCGGGGGATGGATGCAGTTGCAAAAGTCAGACGCTTGGTATGCATTGAGAGAACTTATGAAGGCAACGGTACAGGTAACTTAGATTATTAAATTGCCTATTAAATTGCAGCTGAAGTGTTAATATCTTTTATTTGCTTAATAGGTGTTAAACCTCCATGACATGTGAGTCAGCGCATTGCCAACAATAGAGAGAATGGAATGTTGAGTAGTAGTATGTTCGACCAACACTTGGGG